CAACTTTAAAGTTAAATGAAGTAACGTAAGTCGAAGTCTTAGCTTAATTATTCCCTTTTCAATTTGATATAAGCCTAGGCTATTTTTTTTTTAGTTGTCTAGGTACGTAGAATGAATAAATGGAAGGCTAAATATGGAATGAAATTTTTCAAGAATGAAGTTATTTAACTTAAAAAACAAACAAAAAAAAATCTCAAGAGTACTTAAAATAAATAATGATGAGTTCAAGAGTGTAGTTTTTTGATTATTTTTTTATCAGTACATGGATCTAAACCAGTTCATTAAATGATGTAGAATACATTTTCAAAAAACACCTTGGCCAATTTAATCCTGTTTTAACCATTCGAATCTATTTCAGAATATACAATAATGAACGGAATGAGGTATGGTACAATAACGTATCTTATTCAGTATTAATGGTTTTATAGCATATCTAATGGTCGACCGTTTGTATAATAAGGAAACAGATTATCATAAAAAAAACTTAAAATAGTGAAAAACTATTTTATTTTGAGCCTACGTTTCGACCCAACTATGCAGGTTTTTATCAGTGTTAACCAGATACAAACTGTAGAATAACGTAAGAATTATAAGATATAAAATAGAAAAACTACTAACGTAATAAATAGAATTCGAAATTATGGGTTAAAATATAAAACAATAGCTATTATAGGACAAATAAAAACTGGTAACTATATAACATAATCAAGAGCAGACTGGACGGCAAAAGTCTATTTCTGAGTGGAGTATCAGTATCAAGTGAAAATATCAGTTACCGGTAACTGATATTTTCACTTGATACTGATACAAGTGAAAATATCAGTTCACTGTGACATCGAGCTGCTGTTAGAAAGCATCACATAAGTTAAACTTGTATCTTCTGTCGGTCAGTAGTCCACTATTGACGTCAATACATTACAGAATTAAATAGAATAAATTAACTCTTTTAAGGTGATTATAAAATAATAAAGTATTCACATTAAATGTATTATAAATAGATAATTTGGAGTTTAATAGAATCTACGAAAAACGATCTTGAGCATGTTATAATCTTATTTTCTCAATGTATATTTAAATAATAATTCTAAAACACCAATTACTTGTTACTTTCTATAATTATAAATTGAACTGATACTAAACCAAAACCATGTATGAAGATAATTGATACATTAGAATCTATTTTTAAATTAATCATTATCTTTGAAATTATTCAAAAATAGAATTGAATCCCATGAGATAATTTTAAATGAAGTGACTAAAATGTTTATTTACAGAATAGCTCAGCAATGATTCACCAATTGACGCCACTTACCTGTTGTCTTTTCAAGGTTGAATGTGTTAACTCAATTCGAACTTCACAATGGCGGTAGATAAGAGTAGCAATTCATCAAGCAAAACGATCTGGTAAATTGTGAATTCAACAAGACCAGAGAATCCGAATTTAGGGGAAAACAGAGTAGTTTTCATTTTAAAATAAAAATTAAAAATATTTCGAAACATATTAATTATAATATTAAATATTAATATATAGAACATATTGAGATAAATGTGAGTCGGAATTGGTATTGTAATTCAATAAAAATACAAAGTTAAGAATTTATTTTGAAAAGAACATGAACTTCTATAATTTTATTTAATATGATAATATAATCATTGGTAAATGGTTGACTGTCGTGGATAATGAAGAGAAGAATAGTTGGGGTGGTCAGTAAAAAGGAAGGCAAAAATAAATGATAATATTTATTTTTATATATGCCGACGTTTCGACCTGAAGTTCAGGCCTTCATCAGGGCTAAGAAAATAACCAGATAACAAGGTATGAGAAACATAAGTAGAGATGGTAAAACAAAAAAAAATAAAAATAAAAGATAAATAAATAAATATTATCATTTATTTTTGCCTTCTTTTTTGACTGACCACCCCAACTATTCTTCTCTTGATTATATAATATATCGAATGTTCGTTTATATTTTATTTATTCCTTTCATTTATCAGTTTATATTAAAAAATTTTGGAGTTAAATAATTAAAACATCAATAAAATGAAATAAAATTGAGATGCCGATTAAACTATTGCGAAAAATATATATTTTTTAAAACTTTTAATATGAACTTTTTAATATTGCACTCCGTTGTCGATAACTGTTACATTGGAAATAAGTAGGAAATTGTGACCCGACTGCTTCTTCTTTTATTTTCCGTTTTTTATTTTTTATTTATTTTTTTTTTTTTTATAAATTCATTGAAAATTTTTATTATGATAATTCCTGCATATTCACAAGTTATTTTTTTATATAATCGGTAATAAGTCCTAATTTAAACTATTTAAATTTAGTTTTTTTAATATATATATATATATATTGTATTATATTGTTTTTAGCTTTAAATATATTAAACTATTGTTTAATTTTTTTTTAAAGAGCGGTGGAGGTTAGGATCTTGGATTTCATTTTTTTCATAATTTCGTTTATAGAGTTTTTCATTTTTTTTTTTTAATTAATTTACTACTAGTATAATTTTAACTTCGTGCGCTCTTAAATGAAGTAATAGATCATTGAATCGGTGATATTCAAACCGTTAAATTAATGGGCACCAAATTACATTATTAATTTTTTTTTTAATTCTAACCGAGGATTGAGTACCTAATATAGAAGAGTAATTAAAAAAGTATTTAATTCAGCTCAGGATATAAAAAAGAAAAATAGTGGTAATGAAGAACAATTTTACACCACTATTTTAAGAAATAAAAATGGTATATGGTGAACAATATTCTTCCAACTCAATAAATATATTTTACTAGTTTAAAATAAACAATAAATAACAAAAAAAATAAATATGTTGCATGATAAACAGTAAGAATAGTAATATTTTTGTTAATTGGGAAATTATTTCTGCCCCAATGAAATACTACAATAGACTATTTTAAAAGTTAACTAGGTTGTTACGTTACTTTCAATTATTTTTCTGTTATTAATAATTATAATTTAGCATTAAAATTTCATGACTTAGACATGACATTTCCTGTTGAATATTACTCGTAAATTAAATATTATGATCGGGATATTTAAATAACTTCATCAACCCACAACTTCCTCTTAAGATATCCTTCGTGCAAAGAGTATTTACACCGAATCATTATAGCCGATATCGGTAAGTAAAGACGAGACTGAAATTGTTCAATCAAAAGGCCAATCAGTTGAGACCAGGTAGCAATTTCCTATCAAACAACTTTGATGGCCCAATCATCTCGACGCCAAATTAGTTGATTGACTCTCGAGATTACAGTACCCTAAGACACCATTTTTAATCTTTCATACAAAATTGAAACACTTATAAGCGTCCATAAACTTATTTTGTTTAAAAAAAAGGAACATACACAAATATTGCTATTCCAAACGGAAAAGAAGTTAAGACCAATTTTGTGTGTTCCTTAAGGTGGCCACGCTTTTTAATGAAAAAGGAGGAAATTCTCAAAAACTATTCAAGATAATTAAATTCTAAGCATACCATGGTAAACTAGACAAAATTTTATATGAGAAAACAGTGATTAAATTTACTAAGATCAATGATAAAAGGGGGGTTTTAGGAAGTCTAATACGACCGCTGTACTGCTCCGTACGAACCGGGAATACAGAAATATGACGTTCGTGTATGGGCACTGTAACAGCAGCAATATAACGATTTTTACTTTGGAGAAAAAAGACAGAAACTAACTACCTATAGTAGAGGTCTCCAAACCACGGCCAGCGGGCACTTCAAGTCCACTCATACATGATCTCTTGCCCTACAGTATCTTTTAATAGTACTTCACTTTGATAATATCCCTTTTGAACAAATCTGATACCTCGGACTCTACTAGGTCTAACTTGAAATCCTCATACCAGACTGAAACGACAAGAGACCGCTCGACATTTCTGACTACACCAGCACTTACTAGACAAACGCTCTAAGCTTCCAGTTAATTACAAAAGACTCATGTACATGACTACATTAAGACCTGTTTGGATTTGCGGAGAAGAGCTTTGGGCTCCACTAAGCTATCGAATTCCTCTCGTATCCAATCATTACAATCAAAAATCCTTAGTATAATCCTTACTATAGTATGTTCCTTATGTTTGTGGACTGGTCCAATCCAGGTACCTATCCTTCCATAACAAACTTCAGAACCACCCAAGCTCTCTCGTTTCTAACCTTACTTCCTGTTCGATCTCTGATGACGTCCAAGGCGTCTAAAAAGAAGATGGCGTCGAGATCTCCTATTTTAAATTTTTAGAGTGCTACTAATGGGTAGTTTTTCAACAAGTAGGTTCATGTCATTATAATCTTGTGTTCACATTAACTGAATTTATTTTTATTTTTAATATTGTTGTAAATACCATAAATATATTTAAAAAATCATAGGAAATTTTATTTATTATTGTTGATATATGAAATTCAGTTTCAAATACAACTATAAAGATGATATTTCTATAACTCATTTTAGGGTCATTCACTGGTCAATAAATTGATATATTGAAAATATATATCTAATACGGTTGTTAAGAAATTTCCACCAAGTGCCTATCTTTTTTTTTTTATTGATATGTTTTTGGTTTGGACGGTTAATGAAAATCAATGGACAGTGATTGATGGTATCGGCGTCGAACCTTCGAGTTAGCTGATTCTATATTACTATTATTATTTTGGACTTGGTATACAACGGATAATGGATACTATTTTCATATATATAAGAATGTTTAGGAATAAGTATGGACTTGAACTTTCTTCACATAAGTGATATATCTATTAAAGAAGGAAAATCAGGAGAATCTTCTTAACATTTCATTAATGCCTTTTCAAACTTAAGTTTATGCTTCACAGGTCAGAATATTATTATTATTATTAAGTGTGAATAGACTTTATAATATAAAAGTCAAACATTTTAAAAACTATGGAAAATATTATTAATGGTTGCTAAGCTACGAGAGACGCTTGCTGAGTGAGCCACGTGCATCATCATACATGACCTTTCCTGGCATTTACAGTAGACATAGCTTCGCATTCCTATCTTGTTCCAGCCAGTTCGACATAATGGCTTTAGGAGCCGTCCAAAATTCCTTTTGAGTTTCTTCAGAACTTTTTTTTTTAAAGCATTATGGAAAAAAGCTGAAAGGAATCAATGCCCTAAAGGAATCGGATAATAAATAAAATAATTTAAGTTAACTCCACTATTAGTCGTAATTATCTACAATTTATTTATTTTAATTTTCCATAAGAGTCATCTTTTGGATTTTTTTTTTTTAATTCTCACTAGAAAAATTGAAATTATCCATATTTGGATGAACTTCTTGACAAATCACTATTTCGAATTTTCAAAAATCTAAATATACCTGAGAGACTGTAGCTTATAAAAAAAAATATATCATAAAGTAGTAAGTTTTTAGTGAGAAAAGACAAATGAAAAAAAAAAAAACTATTTATGAATTCTATTCAAATTATTTTAAACAAATTTTTGTTGATAATTTTCAGAGATTTAATATCATTATTATAAATAACAAAATTATTTAAAAAACAACACATTTCATATCGATCAAGTGGCCTAGCCGAAAACTATGTAGGCCGAATATCTGTGTGACAAACTCACAGGTCTGCTAACCTACTTTCGACCCGAAACAGTTACAAGAACTAGCCAGGCGGCTCAAAACTGGATTCACCAGCACCTATCTCTTGCCTGGAATGTCCGATGAATTTCATTTTTGTAAAGGACTAGGGTACTTATTCTATAAATCTACGTTTATTTTATCAATGACGGCAATCAATATTTATTTTTTTTAGTTTTATTTAAAACTAGAAAAATTGGAGATGCCTATATTAGCTAGTAAAATTAACAACATTCTGATTTTCTGTGAATTAGATATTTTTGAACAGCATTTATGTATGTATTAGGCGTATTACATAGTGTGATTGAGCTACACTCATATTAATATTACTAAAGTCCTTAGATGTGACAAATTGTAATATATCTCAATAACATACAAGGGTTAACCACCAAGTATTCAATATAACAATCTATACTTATTATTTTATCTTAATAATAACCCTAATACGGTGAGTAGTTTCAAAATAATTTGAACACATTGTCGCTCACCCGAAGAAAATGATTCGCAAATACATGCTAAAATTCAGATAATACGCAGAATCTTACCGATAATTCTCGTCAAATAGTATGGCTGAGGTTTTGTAATTACAGAAGGATGACTATGACAATGGACAATGATGAATAGACAAAGAAAAGTGTAGACAATGAAGATGAAGCTTTAAAAAGAACTGGGACAGTCGATCGTGGTACGAATAAAAATATCATTGACATGTAATTTAGCTGAATATAATTGATTTATGCTCGACAAACATAGGACACCTTTACGCATTTACTAAACGCCGCAAATATAAACCACATTCTTCCTATACACATTCTTCCTAAACAAGCAGTTTGGTGGAATAGGTGTTAAAGTGCTTCCGTCACAGAGAAATATTTTGGTTTTAAATTGAGTTTAAACTTAAAAAAAACAACTAAAAATATATAAAAAGAACATAAATGTAAAATATCTCGAAATAGAAAGCAACTCTAGGAACTTGTGTGGCATTTCCTGCAAGCTCTTTTTAATGAGCCCAAAAATTAATTATTGGAGGATCGGCCATGAATACAAGAAAACATGAGCGAACCAAGCGATACAACTCCTTTGGTGACTTCGAATAATTAATTGGAATTTTTGAGTAAATATAATTCACTAAGAAAACCTAACCTCACACTGATTAGCGGTAGACGAAGATGGATTAGATAAATATGTAATATAAAAAAAAAAAATAAATAAAAATTAAAAATATCAATATTCAAAAATTATTCATTTTTAATAATTGATCGATATGCAATTTCTTGCTTTTGAATCTATTACGGACTGCATTCCTTGAGTTATTGACGTAATATGAAATTTCATCACAATACTTTCATATTCATTTACCAGAATTATTCTCGATTATTGGAGAAATTGTCTTTTTTTTTTTTTTTTTTTTTTTTCTTACCCTCCAAAATGTTTATTGAAACAATTACATATATAGTATACAATAATACAATATATACATGCAATAAATTCCTTCCACTGCCCGAGGGCAAGAAATTGTCTTAAAAAAATCATTCTATATATATATTAATTAGGATTTATATTAAACATGCGAGATTAAAACTTTAAATTCGGCGTCAGAGTATCGGAAAAGACATTGGAAGGGAAGAGGATAATTTTTTTTTAAAACTATTTCCTCTACTATTCTCTTCTGTTCTGTCCTTAGATATATAGATAAAACTGAGTAATAAGATGGAATAAAACTAGAAAAAATTAAATTAAGCAATTTGCAGAAATTAGGTGACACACAGACATATTACATGCTGAAATCTGAAAACCTTTATGACTCCAATAAAATTTAAGAATAAACTAAATTCACGAGTTGGCGTGGGCGATACATAGGAAATAAAATAACACACATCACACGTGAGAACCCGCAATAACACCCACCAACTCAACCACATCCTACGAGAGGTGAAATCGGATCCGATAGGGTACAATTTAGTCAAATCAAGTGGTTCAGCCAAGTCAATATTTTAAGAGGAATTAAATTTTAATAATGCTACATCTTTAACAAAAATTAAAACAACTATTATTTGTTCTCATTCCAACGACAAAAGATGATAATATATAAACGAAAAAAAAACCAAAAAAAAAACCTGGCGATTGAGAGTGATCCGGGCCCAATCACCTCCCTGCGCAACCGTTGCCCTGGAAACAGCAATTCTCTACCAAGTACTTAGCCCGAGGGCTCTTCATTTATGAATTGTACTGGTATAGGTATTTTTTTTCTTCGGAAAAACGCTTATCTTACTGACTATAAAGAATTATTATATTTCACTTTCAAATTATTGGCTGATCATATACTTACATATAGAACATGATTGATTAAAAGAACAAATTGAAAAATAGTTAACCAACAATCCAATAGATAAATATGGAAACTAGTAATAACCACGGTATATTATTTTATATCGCTCTGCTCTTATCGATATATTGTTATATATGTATGAAACAAAATTGAAACACGCCAAACTTATGTTTAATGGTTATATACCACCTGACCCATTGTTTGGACCACCAGGCTGTCACAGCTTACAAAGGCAATCGATGGGCAACAATAGTGAACAGTTAGGACCTACATCGAAGAGACCTTCTCCATGTTAAGTTCCCCGTCGAAGCCGCAGAGAATTCACTTAGAGTGCTCGAACAAAGAACTTTAATGGTATTATTTTTTATAGTCAAGGGCTCCAAATTCATTAAGATTAATCACTTAAAAGAGTAAAATAAAATTTTACATATAATACTTATACAGCTAAATTTTAAATGATGGGCTAGAATTGAGTCCACCTGACAAAATTGTGACAACACATCTCAGGCAGTTTAACACTTATTACTAGAGTGGGTCCAAAGCGAAAAAAACACAACAAATTAAAGTTTTCCACGACATAGAAGGATATTTTGCGAGAAAATGAGGAGGATGTCGTCATTCTCTTCCAATATTTAACCGAAACAAAATATAACAATTAAGAATTACCGCACATGACCCTCTAGATACAGACGAATACAAATAAAAATTAAAAAAAAAAAATTAAAAAAAAAATTTAAGAGTAGGCTTATAAAACATCTGTTTATGTTTAGTGGTTATAAAAAGTATAACAGAAATCAATGAAAAAGCAATTCAACGATTCTTTTCTCCTTAAATTCAAATCTTCATATGCATTTGTTGAATAGAGAGTAATAATAAAGAAAATTTGTAATGAAATGATATTTCCATGCCAGAGGAAAGAAAACTTCAAATTTCCTTGTTAGTCAACAGTTTGTTTATGAAGCAGGTCTCTTATCAGAATGTTAGTGAGTTCATGTAGTTTGTGAGGAGAGAGGGGATAATAAATACTAGTCCCTGGTATAGATCCCTTTTTAATTCATCAAGTATCAACATCCGCCTAAAACGTCGTGAATAGCTTTATCTCATCGTAAACTACAACCTTTTTATTTTTGAAAATTTTCATGATTGGGGATTATCAATCTAGAGAAAGACAAACTTAGTCTATTTAATTAGATATTAAAAACTCATGAACACTCATTTTCTTTCCACTTGAATCCCAAAATAATTTGATAACAAAGTCGACAGAAATTACCAAAAGTGTACTTAGTGACTTTTTGCAATAAACCGACGATATTTTCGTTCAAAAACTCGGATTGAAAACATTTCACGATCGATATTATACTCCACTTTATTGTATATTTTATGTATAGGTAAAAGACATTAATAACTCCGAATTTCACATTGATACACTAATAAGCACAACATGTAATAAAAAATATATTGAATGTAACCTTATAACTAAATTACGAACAATATGACACATACATGAAGATATTTAATATTAATTAGTATTAACAAAATACAGATACAAAAGAACGTTGATAAATATCACACTTTTATACCCAAACATAATATTTAGATTCACGACTCACGTGGTCGATGGAGATATCGCATGATGATAAAGAGAAAATTTCCAAAGCTTGATGTACATGTATATCGTAATTTACATCAATAATATAACAGTTTGAAACCTTTCCATGAGGTTTCATTCTTATCTGTCTGTTCAAATATATCTCGAGCCTAGTCCACTTAAAATATTTCTTAATAACGATCTTATTTCGGCAACTATCAAAAGAAGGACAGATGGCGAAAGAGAAGCAGCTATTACAACGGCCACACCTCACTGAATCTTGGTCAATCTGAAGGCACATCTCCTAGTGAAGAAATATGGCCCTCTTGCAAAACTACCGAACTCCTTCCAGCGACTACAAGAACTGCCGAAGATATCCTTTCATCTGAACCAACCACCGAAACATCAGCGGTCGCGACAAAGGGAGGATGTTGCAGGTGGGATGTTGTAGATAAGAGATCGACACAGCGCGGCTACCGGTTGATTCTATTCAGGAAATGGAATCTCATAGGACATCTTGATTTCGTGAGGCCTCCAAGACATCGATACATATCTATCATCTGACCTTTCTATTGAGATTTTAACATTTAAACACTAAAAACCATTTATCCATATTTCCAATCCTTGGTGTCATAATTTATTTTGTTCATAAGTTTAAGGCTATTGTCCATTTCAGAACCGATTTCTTGTTGCATATTTTATAATTTTAAAGAGGACGTTTGGCGGTCTGAACTGGAACCATTATCAAGTTTTATTTTGTACTTCATTGACAAAACTCATCTAAATATTGTTCTTCATTACTTCATTATTAATACAAATGAAGAAAATATGTCAGTGAAGACAATATATGACTGGATAATGGCTCTAGTTTAGGCCGAAACGTTGTATTTAAAATTATAAAAGAAATAAAGAAATTGGTGATCAAATAGTCTTTTGTTTGAGAACAAAATAAAAACCTTTTTGTTTTTCAATCACATGTGTGAATGGCGTTTATGAATCGCGTTGATTCTTAGGAAAAAAATTAAAAGACGTCTTAAAAGTGAATTAAGGAAAACTTCAATTTAATTTCATAAAGATTTCTATAATTTCTAGAATGACAATAAACACAATGAAGAAATATGCCAGCTAAAATCAAGCCCTGCCATCTCTAACAGAATTTCTCATTAATTGTTAATATCAAATTAAAAGTCTAAATAAACGATTAGCAAAATTACGATAATGCATAGTGGGTGCTGTAAATATAACCCTATATAGTAAGGGAAAAAATAACTGAAATAATACATTTGTGGTAATAATACATATGTATTATTATGGGATCTTAGCTTTTATTGGTAAAGTAAGGAACTATTGTTCCTTGATGAGTTGAGTTGATGTGGTCAGCGATCACAACCGAACATCCGGGTTATCCTCCAACCCAATGAAAAACCATGTACCCACCTCTTAAAAGGCGATTGATTTACTTATATGGTTTATCATAAATGTCACTTGGAACTACAGGTAAGGTTAGTTGGCCTATGCATTAAATATTTTTGTTTATACAATCATATAGTTTCGGCACTAAAAATATATTATGTAAATAGTAATTACTTGAAGCATAGTAAAGCATTAATAAACGAATAGCTTAAAAATAGAGCATTAGGTGAAGACGATAAAACAAATCAAAATATTTTACAAGAATTTTGATTATCAAGAAGCACTATCTCATCATTGAAATATAAGGATTTTATAAAAAAGCGTTTAAAGCATACTAAGTGATAACCTAATGAAATCATAGATAATGCATGTTCGTAAGTGTTCCTTGCCATAGCTAAGCCGTTTGACAACTGTAATATCCAATTTTAGCACTGATTCTGTAGCATGGTTACACTTACTCTATGCCCTGATTACCGTCATTTATTTCCCATATGTTTATCATAAAGTATTTTGTTTTTTCGCTTCGCATTCTGTACCTTGTTAATAGACTCTGTAACATATAAATTATATATATTTTATATTCAGAGTATTTTAGAATTGTAAATGACTAAAGAAACGCCTAGGAGGTGAACTTTACTAAAACAACACTCTTATCCATTACATAATATACATGATTTTTTTTAGTGTTATGGCAAATCGTGTATTTTTTCTGAATCTTTTTGGCCATTCTTGAATTTTTCTGAATTGTCTTCGCTATTCATGGATTTTTCCTGAGTTTTCTTGGATGTTTCTTTATTTTTAGATTTTTTTCTGAATCTGCTTGGGTATTCTTGGATTTTTTCTGAATCTTCTCGGATATTCTTGGATTTTTCTAGAATATTTTTTAATATTTTTTGGAATCTGTTTGGACATTCCTGTATTTTTCCTTAATCTTCTTGGCCACAGGTGGATCTACGAGAGAGGAGGAGGGTCTGAAGATCCTAATATATAAACGTGTCTTATAACAAATAATATTATAAAAAAATTAAAATATTATTAATCGTGTATTAATTTACGAAATTACATTTAACAGGATTTCAAGAATCACTTAAACGCCATTTCATGTAGGTAGTTAGTTTATATCTTTTTCTTCCACAGTAATTATCGTCATATATTTTTTATGAGCAGCCTTAGCAGAGCCGAAAAAGTACTTGCTTGTCTCTGCTCATAAATTAAGCTTTGTATTACAAATAAATTTAAGGTCAGATAAATTATTTTTTGTTTTTATTTCTTTATAAAATAACATATGGTTCAGAACTACAGTAACGTTCATTACTTACTTGGTCATAATGCATTAATACGTTGCCTACTTTAAAAATTGAACAGAAAGCTAAGAGTATATAAATAGGAATACTATAGTGGGTCACGAGGTCAGACAAATGATCGGGCGACAGTACCTTTCACTCCAACTTTCGAAGGCTCTCAACTGGTCTCTTGCTGACTCATCTTAAGAGTTCTCTTCAAATAATCCTCAGGTCGAGAGGATATCCTTATCCTTTGAGATGGTACCGGGGGGCTGCATTATTTCGTGTAAATAAAGAATAAAGGAAGCAGACAGAAAAAAATTAATTAAAAACATCTATATGAGTTACTTACTTTCAATGTGGACCTTAATCATTAGTAACAATTTTTCAAGAAATACGAAAAACTATATTTTTTATTTTAATTGTAATATTAAAAGAAAAAATAAATAAATAAGAAATTCATTATTAGCAGAACGTATTTTTGAAAATCACTGATTTTTCCAGTAATAATTTTAAAACATTGAAGCTGAACAGGGTCCCTTCTGGAAAGAATTAAACTTCAAAGCCTACTCTTAAAAAAAACATTAAAAAAAAATGGTGATTTTGATTGTTTTAGAGAAAAAAAATGGTATAAGATTCGAGGAGTAAGAGTTATAAAATTATACCATAAAAAATTAACTTTTTGTTTGAAAGTAAATAATGTTGTTTTTAATTTTCATTCGAATATAACGGTTAAAAAAGTTTTCGAGGATATATTTTTTTAAGAATACTTAAGAAATGCAAAATTCATTACACTCCTTTAAAAAAAGGACGGTATCAGAAATAAACTCATTTCCACAGCAATTTTTTTTTTAGAGGAACAGAGAGAGAGAGATACAACATTGAACGGCTGGTCATCTATATTGAGTTGCTAAACAACACAGCATACTCATCAATCAATACATAATATTATTTAAAAATACATAAGAGAGAGTTAGATCGGACCATTATATTAAATATCAGATATGCCTATCGGATCAGTTCATAGAATCAAATAAGCGAAGGCCTAGATCAACATATGTGGTGATGGAGGATTCCCAACGAGTCTAAATGATCATTTCTGCCATCGTCTGCATCTGCTCCCTCCCAACACCGAGCCTCTGCAAGAAATAATTTGTAGTAAGAGGGGTGCTTACCCTTACTTCCGAACCGAGGATTCTTTCCCGCAGAATACATCTCAGTACTTGTCCTTCAGGTAAGGTAGGCATCTTGAAGTCGTGATCCTGATCGTTGGTTTCAAATCTGATCGTGGGATCCAATATGACTGCCTCCTTTTCAGTCGCATTGAACGACAAAATATCGATGAACCTTGTCGAGCCTTCCGTATCCAGATAATACACTTCGAGGAAACATTCATAGTTCTTTATTTCAAGAAATTCGGCTATACGATGCTTTATATTACTGTGCCGACGAGTGACATTTGGAGCATGTTATGTGGACGATTCCGCAACGCGTCAGCTGGGGTTTGTGACTCTCGACCACATTTGCGGCAGAGTGGTCCACATTGAAAAAAAAATGAACAATAATTGCATCATCCAATTCATTGGGTGTTTTTACATGGGAATCGATCCTTACCTCAATTCCGATAAAAATCTATTATGGTTCACTTTGTAAATAAGCAATTCATACGTAAACACTATAAGCTAGTATATCCTAGCAGATATTCTTACAACTTACTATATTATATTTTTAAAATAAGTTGAAAGTTTTGTATGCTGACCGAGCTTGAGTTGAAACATCTAAATTGATCAATATTTTCTTTGTCTAATGAGAACAAATTAATGTAATCAAATAAAAGATCTTGCTGCTTATGTGAAGGATAAAAGATGAAATAATCGTTAATTGAAAATTCTAAACATATTTTTATAAACAGTTCTCTCCCTCACAGCCAGAAAGCAAAGCATGCATACTATTCAAATTCAAAGGAGCGTGATCAAATATAGTCCAAGCATTCGCTTGTAAAGTTGGCTGGGTCTCTCGGAATGGGAGCCCATCAGCGCTCTCTTGTAATCAACATCGCCATTAGCCAAATGACGGGTGTTATTCCACAAGAGAGGATCCACTTTGATACGGGTGGCATGCCATGCGAGACTTTAAACACTTGCCATCTTTGAAATGGTAACTGATAGTGCTGTAAATCGTTCTTGAAGATCTTGTCGTCTTATTTCATACCATTTGGAGCGTTCGGGTAATTTTGGAGATTGTTTAAGTTCCATGCTACTGAATTGACCTGGCTAGATAACATTATCAATATTTATGTAGTTAAAAATATGCTATCATAACGAGGACAAACCATTATAAATAGATATCTACAAGATTAATATTTAAACATACACGAGTGTAGAATCGGATATTTGTGAACCTACAAACAAGGAATTTAATTTAATACTCTTGGACATCGTCATAATCGATACATAATGTAATGCATTAAGTATTCAAAACGACAAATAGGTATTATATACAATTACCGTTTAATCAAATTCAAGATTTCAAAGGACTGTAAATATTTTAATCCTATTTAATACTTGCAGATACTTAACAATACCTTTAGAGCATTCTCTAATGGTCCATTTTCTTTAAGGAAAAAAATTTGATAATTTTGCGGTAGTTGAAATTGCGGTCCAAGAGTTCTTTGACCGCCATCCCAAAGAATCGAGCAATTGGCTAGCAGATGGCTAATGACGATAGATAACAATGGACTACACTTTGAGTCTTAATTGTATTTTATATTAAAGAAATAATAATACAAATATTTGGTTGAAAAACGGTCATTTTTTTTATACTTCCTATCAGAGCTGCTCAGAAGAGGTTTGAGGGGGAAACTTGCGC